TATTAAGTTTTAATGATCTAATTATTAAATTTAATATTTTTAATACATCAATTAAATTTATGAATTTTTAAAAAATTTAAAAATTATTTTATATTTCATTTTATTAATTTATTATCATATAAAATAATTTATAATTATTCATCAATTTAAATATAATTATCTTTGTCTATTAAAAGAAATTGATATTTGCATATATAAAAAATAAAGAGTGAGAGAATGAAAGACAGAGCAAGAGATTAAATAGTGTGGGGCAAGTGGATAATTGAAAGATGGATGGATCATGGGAGAAGACTCGGAGCTACCGGTTGACTATTTTCTCATACTAATCAATATAAGAGAAAAGTCAAATGCCTTTTAAATTTCTCCATCAATAATTCAATGTGCGTGCTCTCTTGTTTTCTACACTGCTTTAATTACAAATATACTTAAATATACTTTTAACATCTAAATTTTAGGTTTATTTTTAGTTTCTCAAATTTAAGTTAACTTTTTATACTCTTATTATTTAACAAAAAAAAATTGGTTTAGTACTAGAGAATCACCCTTATAGCATCACTAACTTCGATAAATTAGGTTTGTTGTACACTATTAGTTAAATTTAGTGTAATATGTTTTCTAAGAGATACTACTAACTCTAGTAAATAAATTTTGCATGACAAATATAGTAAATGGTGAATTATTTTATTGATTCATTAAAAAAATTTGATATGGGAAAAAGACAAAAATATTAATTTTTAAATTTTTAAAAAAATAAATTTACTTCATATTTAAAATATTAAAATTCAATAAAAAAAATTAAATACAAATAATTAATGTATTGAATCTAAGGTTGAATTGATCAGATAGTGTCTGAATTTTTAATTTTTGATAAAAATAATCTTTGACCAAATTTTATTTATACCTTTCAACTGAATTATATTAGTTATGATAAAATCTTAACACACTTGTGTAAAAGAAATATATATATAAAAAAATCTATTTAAGCTAATTTTAATGACATGTAAGTAAGAATTCATGTACCAAGTTAACCACTGGCAGTATAAAATGTTTTCTTTAGCGGCTGAAAATAATGAATTAATTAGTTTTTTTTTTCTTAAAAAAATGTACGTAGCTGGTGTGAATATTTATTGCTGCTAAGTTTTTCGAACTTCCCATGTCACCTCCTCCCGTTATTTCTGAACTGTGTATGCATGCTCACGTGAAGGCTAAGACCACGCCCAAATTATACTCAATACTTATATATATAATTAATTCCATCACTATGTAATAATTATTTCAAAAAAAATAAAATACCACATTGTTAAAAAAAATTATGTATCGTATCGTATTACAATGATAAATATAACGATAAACTTAATTTTGATTTATGTAAAAACTTAAAAAATTCTCCTATCATCCCAATACACCTTATTAATTATATGTTAGCAACTAATAATAATTAACCTGCAAGATAATATGAAAATAAAATGCTACTTATTTAACCATACATATGATTAAATATATGTGTGTGCCAAAGAAGAACATATCGAAATAATATAGTTCTTTGTTCGGTGGCTGTGTTGTGATTGTGAATAAACGTGCATATGAACTAGTGGCTCGTGAATTAATGATCGAGTTTCGGGTGTACATTCTCTTTTGCTTTAATACTAATGGAAAGATGCATATATTGGGTTTTCTGAATCTGTGGAATAATATTGTACATTTGTCTATGCATGCACTCTGCAAAATACAAAGGGAAAAAAGAAAGTGAATCTGCTATCATCCTTATCTCTGCTCAATTCTCCTCTTACGTGGCTTTCATTGTCACATATATTTCAACAGCATGCATTTAACGATGTCAGCAAGAGCTCAGAGCAGCCTCCATCGTGTCTTCACACTAGTCTCCTCTGCATGTGGGAAGGTGAGAGAGAGAGAGAGAGAATATGAACCAAATAAATAAATAAAAACAACCACAAAATGACATCTAATATAACATCAAAGCCTATCTCAATAATTAGTATAAACCTATTACATGTCATTCGTTATCATGTTATTATCAAATTATCTATTGATGTTTAATTCTATGAATTAAACTTAATGAATATTTAGGGTTACATTTCTTCATGTGTAACCGTTAGGAGCTCACTTGTAATCGTCAGATATTATTGGTGGACGTATATAAGAGATTCTACGATAATTAATATTAACTTAATTATTCAAAGTCAAACGATCAATGATAAGATCAATCGAAGAATTTCCTCCTCATGCTCTTGAGTTTGTTAATATATAGCATCATGTGACGTTCAAGTAATTTATACCAACAGAGACACAATTTAAAAAAATTATTAAAAAAAAAAAAACCAGTTCTTACGCACTGAATTCAAATTATTTTGCTTAAACTTCCAAGTATTGCCATAAGTTAAGAGTTGACATATTGGGTTAGTTTGTTATTTTAATGTTGAGATTATCATGCCTATGATTAGACGCAAAACTAAAATTTTGGAATTCCTAATTACTCTTGGTTTGTGATTCTATATATTAATTTGAGATTGACACGTAGTGGGTGATCAACTCCTCCACATGCATGTATCATGTGCTGCATGCAAACGTGTCAAAAATCCATCTGTAATACATATGTTTTCAAAATCTATGTGGGGGACATGCTATAACTGCTTGACATAATATGATTATGTTATAAGGTTTTTCTGATAATTAATTCTCCAAATAACAGTCAACGAATCAACAAATGAAAGATTAATTTTAAGTACAAAATATAAAACTTAATATATTAAAAACTAAAAAAAAATTAAAATCCTTTTTTTCAAGAATTTCCTCATAGCATATAAATAGTTAAATACTAAAATATCGTTTAAGTGCAATCTAAAAAGGGGAAATCTTGAAATAGGAACTAGTTTAATTACAGTCTTTGTAATGATATTTTTCAAAAAGCTATATATTTTGATTTATAGCTACGCTACGACTTCTTCACATCACTCCCCGTATATATTTATTTAATAAAACTAAGTCAAAATTATTTAATGGGATGCATAAGTTGGGTTCACTTATGGTCTAAATAATTTTTTTTTCTTTAAATGTTGCAGACTAGGCCAAAATGCGCCTTAAGAGCAAGCACGAGACATGTGATGGGAAAGACAAAAAAAATATCATTAATTATCTACATATATGGAATTTATATATATATATTATGAGTTTAATTCTGTTCAATATGCAAATATAAAATATTTAACATAAAAATTTATTCCATCATTTTTAAAACTATTGTCCCGTAATGCTGATAAAGAGAAAAAGTCCAAATAAAAAAAGCTATAATTTTATATAATCATATCTGCCTGTCTGAATTAGTTCGATTGTCATCAAAATTTATAAATTTTATTAAAATAGTTTCCTACGTTTACTGTTTTTCCTATATTTCATTATTATAATGAGATCCTTAATTTCTTGAAGATTCAAATATGTTACACCCTTTTTTCAATTTTCATTTTTAATTGAATAATGATAACTCAGGGGGAAACAACTCATTTTAATTTTTAATTATTACTTTTAAATCGGAATAACGAGTAATAAAAACAAAAAATTATCACAAGATACTTGCACGCAAAAATAAAATAAAATAAATTATTATCTTTTTATAATTCATTATTTTCCTTTCTTGCTTGCAAGGAGACATTAGTTCCTTTCATTATCATTAACTTCCTCTCAAAGGAAGTGATTAATGAACAAAGCAAAATAAGGGCTTTTACCATCCTAGCATGCCACGACAATGTATATTCAACGTTTGAAATGCAATATAAAACGTGGAAATATCTTAATTACTTGACGATTGAATCTTTTAGGATAATTAATTAATTCATATTATAGTAAAAGAATAAATTATCAAGGGACTCATCTAATCCTTATTACTCTCGTTCTTCTCTTGAAACGTGATTGTAGCATTAAAAAAAAGTACTAAATAATATACTAAAGAAAATAGAAATTTATTACTATTTTTTAAAAGATTACATATATATCTTTATCAAAGACAAATCTATTTGAATCATGTAACACTATTATGAATAACAAAATTCTTTTTTCAGTATATAAAATTGTATTTTTAAGATTCAAACTTGAAATTTATAGCTAAATTAGAATAATTTGGTATTAATTGAGAATTTTGATAGTATAAAGATTTATGATTTGGGGACCATTAGAGTTGAAGACTTTTTTTTCAACATCCTCTCCATTTTGAATGCATGGACAAGTTAGTTTAAGTTGGGTGGCAGCCTCATAAATGTAAAGACTCAACTTACACCATCAAACCTACTCACTCACACATAGTTGAAATGTCCAAACAATACATTTTCCAATTCCCAGAAAATTCTATATCTTTTGTATGAATTTGTCATCAACTGTCCTCGTTGACCCGAACCTCAGACTAACCACGACACAGAAATGGACCTTGCTGTTTGTGTCCCAAATCGAGATGCTCCCTCTACTTTAGTGTCAGCAAGAAAGTTTAGGCAAAAAGTTTATTAAGGGTAGTCAAAAATAAAAAAGAAAAATTGGCAAGATCGGGAATTGTCCTAAACAATTGCATTATTAAAGAAATTAACAGAATCCACTTAGTACGGAAATGGAAGTAACACAAAAAAGGTTTGCCACTTCTTCACTTTTGGCTTTTGTCATGCCTAAGGGTCGCTTGTGTGGTCATATTTATCTATGTAATTAATTAACTAATCAAATAAGAACCTTTTGTTTTTCTTTTTCTCCAATTCCATGATACATGTACGGTCAACTAAACTCTAACTCTTATGTTATATGTATCCGTATGCACTCTTGTGACACGTGCTCTCTCTTTCTCTCTCAGAGTGATAGAATTAAATTAAACCAAAAACTTGTATGAGCTGGAGGGAGATTCCGTGTGTGGGAATCGAGCTGTAATTGAAAGCCTCCCTTCTTTTTTCCCTCCTTCCAACCCTCTTCCTATTTTTCATCTACCATTTAACAGCCTATAAATACCTCAAATCTTCAACTTCTTTTCTCACACACCCTCTTGTTCTTCTTCTTCTTTGTTATCATCCTTCACCTATTACAAGCCACTTCATCCACACTATAACACAAACATGGAACTAAGCACCATGTTTTGCTTGTGTGCTTCTTTTCTCTTCATTGTCCTCTTCAGAACACTCATCAAATCCAAACGCCGTGGTGACTTGCCACTCCCTCCTGGCTCCATGGGTTGGCCTTACATAGGAGAAACCTTTCAAATGTACTCTCAAGACCCAAATGTCTTCTTCACCTCAAAAATTAAAAGGTTCAAAATTTATCAATGACAATTCCTCATGCCATGAAAACTCTCTCACTTTCTTCAACCAATTCATGGACAAATTTCACTTACAAACTTCAATTTTTTGTTATCTAGGTATGGCTCCATGTTCAAGTCCCACATTCTAGGTTGTCCCTGCGTGATGATTTCCAGCCCTGAGGCTGCCAAGTTTGTGCTCAACAAAGCTCAACTCTTCAAGCCAACATTCCCAGCAAGCAAAGAGAGGATGTTGGGAAAACAAGCCATTTTCTTTCACCAAGGAGAGTACCATGCTAACTTGAGAAGGCTCGTTCTTCGCACCTTCATGCCAGAGGCCATAAGAAACATCGTACCCGACATTGAATCCATTGCCCAAGCTTGCCTCAAATCATGGGAGGGTCGTTTGATCACCACTTTCCTTGAAATGAAAACGGTGAGCCCCTAAAACAGAGCACAAAACAGAGCAAAACAGAGTAAAACAGAGCTCCTCTGTTAGAAGAAAAAAAAAACTACCCATTTCTAATTCCTAGTCAATTAATGAAATTTTAAAAAAATTTTAATAAATAAATAATGGGAGTTTTGGGTTTTCAATTCTGGGTCTGTGCAGTTCACTTTCAACGTTGCTCTGCTTTCGATTTTCGGGAAAGAGGAAATTCTGTACAGAGAGGCTCTGAAACGGTGCTACTACACTCTGGAGCAAGGGTACAATTCAATGCCGATTAACGTGCCGGGAACGCTGTTCCACAAGGCGATGAAGGCAAGAAAGGAGCTTGCGCAGATCGTGGCCCAAATAATCTCTAGCAGGAGGCAGAGGAAGCAAGATTACAAGGACTTGTTGGGTTCGTTCATGGGTGAGAAAGCAGGGCTCACCGACGAGCAGATAGCAGATAATGTAATTGGAGTCATATTTGCAGCTCGTGACACCACGGCCAGTGTGCTGACGTGGATAGTCAAGTACCTTGGCGAAAACCCTAGTGTCCTAGAAGCTGTTACTGTAAGTGTCTGGGTCCTACCACGTTTTATTTTTGTCAATTCCTGAGGGCACAGAAAAAATGACAGTATGTTTAAATACAAATTTATAAAAAAAATTTGAGAATTTTTCTACCATAAGTAAATACTTTGACATATAGAAATTTTTTAAGTTTGTATCCGAGCATACATGAAGTGGTTTGGTTTCTAAGACTTAATTTTGGAACTTCACAGGAAGAACAAGAGTGCATATTGAAGAGCAAGGAAGAAAGTGGAGAAGATAAGGGTCTTAATTGGGAGGATGCCAAAAAGATGCCAATAACTTCAAGGGTTATTCAGGAGACTCTCAGAGTGGCTTCAATTTTGTCTTTTACCTTCAGAGAGGCAATAGAGGATGTTGAATATCAAGGTCAATAACCAAATCTGATATGATACCTTTTTCATTTAATTTTTAAGCCAAGATCTCCTTTCCTTTTCCCACTCAGGCTCACAGATTCTATGTTGGTAATTGTTTTTGTTTAGGGTATCTTATACCAAAAGGGTGGAAAGTGCTCCCTCTCTTTAGGAACATACACCACAGCCCTGAAAATTTCAAGGAGCCAGAAAAGTTTGATCCCTCAAGATTTGAGGTAATTATTGTGTGCTGAAACCATGGTTTTGCTGCTATTCAGTCATGTTTGATACCAAGTCAAGACCTTAACAGATTCTGTTTAATTATTTGTCATGCCAGGCTGCTCCAAAGCCCAATACTTTCATGCCATTTGGCAGTGGGACCCACGCTTGTCCTGGAAATGAATTAGCCAAGTTGGAGATTTTGGTCCTCCTACATCATCTGACCACAAAGTACAGGTTGGTAAACTTAATAATCCCCAGTAACAGTCTCTCATATTGCTAACTTTTTTTAGCCCTATGCTTTGAATGGAGACATATTCCAAATTAAGAGGTTTAGAATGTTTCTAAAGTGTTGTTTCTATTTTTTCTGGTGCAGGTGGTCTGTTATGGGTGCAAAAAATGGGATTCAATATGGTCCTTTTGCTCTTCCCCAAAATGGCTTACCCATCACATTATATCCCAAGAAGTAGATATATCATCACTCAAACAAATCACACATCCAATCCAATTAATTATCCAACCCTGGTTTTATAGTAGCTTTCTAAATATGGAAAGAATGACTTCAACTCTAAGCTCTCAAAATTGGTTTCCACATTCTCCCAAGATAATGATAAATACCAACAGAACCATATTGCAATTGGATAACCAAACAAGGGAGATCATCAATCAACTCTTCCTTTCTTTTTGGCCAAGAGAAACCCAAAGGGGTAGTCTTGACAAATAGCAGCATACAAACAGGGATGTCAAGTGTATATAGGAGGTTTCATAGCCAAGAGCAGATAGTATTTAAGTTCTTTTCATTTTCTTCACTTTTTCTTATTTTTAATTATTCCTTCCAATATGAGGAAAAGTCCTCAAAAGATTGTATTGATAAATTCAACTAATTAGTTCTGTATCCATAAGAATGCCGCAAGGCCAAAATAAAGGGAAATATTGCTACCGATATGAGTTAATCCAATGCATAAATATAAAATACCCTTCATAATCTTTTGTTTGTAAAGAATAATAGGGAGAAAATAACAGTGGAAAAATGAAAAAATATAATGAGGGAATGCCAATGAATCACGGCACCATAAAACGAAAAAAGAATACGTGCGTCCCATTTTGCAAGCATGCATTCAATTATTCAAATCTTGAATAACACGGATTTCTTTCATGTATGGCATTTCAATCAAAGTCAGGTCCCCTATGATCCTAACACATGTCGTTTTAAGCATGTAATGTAACCATTATCCACTTCGTAAGTCGTTTTTCTTCAATAAAATTCAAAAGGGTTGATTCAAGTATCTACTATTAATATTACTTGCAGAAATATCCATACTCAGAATAACAATATAGAAATGTGTTTTCTTATTACTTTGCTTCAAATTCTGATTCTGATTTTGATATTTAACGTGTACGCCGGTGGTTTCCAGAGATGAAACTAACCTTGAAGTTGCTAATTGTCTATAATTGTAACAAGACAAACAAGGCTTTATGGCTTCAGAACTGATGCAGTTAGTGTTTCCAAAGTTGGTGACGAGTCATGAGCATGTCATAGTTATCTAATCTCACACTGCTCTTGGAGAAATATCTAAAATGTGGGAAAGCTAATACAAATGCTGTTTCCAACCATAACACATGTATTGATTTTAGTTACAATATTATTATTATTATTATTACATGGGTGTTTGATAAGATTATTTGGTAAAATAACAATGGTAGGTTGTGTGGGCCTTTGTTGAACTTGCACAGCTGAGTTGTTAATGAATGGTTTGAAAATCAAGAATCGCGAGTTTCTGTATGATCAAACCACGGCACTGCAAGAAAGACACTTGCTCATCTTATAATATACCTTGATTCAATGTCATGACTATATGGCAATCAGTGACAGAATCCCAATATTTCTGAGACACCACCAATCACACAATATAAAACTCATTTTTAGAACATCATGTAAAATATCTTTCAACTGAAAAATAGAAATACTCCCTAAAAAAATAGAAATTAATTTAAATGCACTTGCTTTATGACCCAATTATAAATGTTTATTGGGATACAAATTAAATCTCACATTATTAAAATAAAAAAAAATTATAAAATACTTACATATTTTATTAAAAAAAAATTATTAATCCATCAACATAATTCACACAATATCTTAAAACTGACAATAAGAATTAATCTATGTTTATAGAATATAACTTTTATTGATCAAAAATAAAATTATAAAAATAAAATTCGGACAATATGTTATAATTATAGAGATGTGTATATAAATAATCAATAAAATAATATTTTCTCTTCTTCATAAATATATCGCTCAAAAATAAATATGATAATATAATCTTAATAATACTTGTATATAATAAAATTATTAATCTTTATAATAATTATTTTTGAATTCATATTTTTGACATTTTTAATATGCCGGTGGTATAAGGTTTCTGCATTAAGAGTGTATAAATATTAAATCTCTACTCTAATACTAATTATAAAAGGACTTGTAAATTTAGATGGTATTTGACCAGTTTTTTCCTTCAAAATTCATAATTATTTTAAATTTAAAAATTAAAAATAAGTTATAATTTAAAGTTAAAATTATTTGATAATTAAAGTTACTTTTAATTTGAATATTTAAAAAGTACTAGCAACATGCTTATTTTAATGCACATTTTTTAATTATTAATTAAAATATAAAAAAAAACTATCAAATAAAGAGAGATTTATTAAATAGAGCAGAAACCCACCAAATTTTATGATTTTTAATAAATATTGAGTAATCCAAAGATCAGTTTTCAAGACAGTTTTTCTAAAAATTTAATAGGTTAGTGTTTTCTCAGATCCTGATATCTAAAATAAAATAAAAATAAAAGGAAAGGGAGAAATAAAACCTAACAGTTTCTAAAATTAACTCTTTTCAAGAAAAACCTTTCTTTTTAAAATTTTCTTCTTTAAAAGATAACTATTTTATAATTCATTTAATTTAATTTCTCTTTTAAAAAGAAAAAAAATCTAAAAATAAGTTAGAGAAAACTCAAATCAGACCAACCACTTCAGCTGGTAAAAGTAAAACAGTCAGGTAAAATTGACTTTAATAAGTAAATGGATCAAATCAGTTTTGTTCAGAAAACGATGTTTTAATTTGACTTCATCGATTTTTGTGAACAATAATGACTCAACCCAGTCGACAGAAATTAGTTTGGTAGTGCATTTAAAACAGATAAAACTAATATATTAATATACTCTTAATTATTTTTAGGGATATATTAATGTTATCATTTACTAACATACATCGTCTCAGCAAAACAAATTAAATGGGGGGTATATATAACAAAATTAATGACTGAGGTGCTTTTGTGTATGTATGTATTATACACTATAATGGCTCTCTAGTTCAACCATTGATTCGATTATGTGACTGAGTCGAGTAAAATAACACAGAATTACATTAAGTTCATAATTGTTATATATGTAATTAGATGACAAACGACAAATTTTAAATAAGAAAATAATCAAAATATACTACTCCACAGCAAAGGTTGTGACACCAACATGTTTCGGTATAATTAAGTTGAAGAATCTTAAGATTTTTTAAACATGTGATGTTGAATTCAATTTCAAAATTTGTGTATATGAAACAAGTTTGTTGATGGAAAAAGTCTAGTTTCAATGCATTAATTTCGCAAATAAAGCTACCTAACAAATAAAAAAAAAATGATTGCAAAATACGTAGTCAATGAGACAGTTTTTAGAAAAAGCAGAAGAAGAAAAAAACTTAATAAGTTACGTAGTAAATAAAGGTATAGTATCTATATGCATAAAAAAGAAAGCATTAAAAAGTTGAATATTATTTACACGTTAGGTGGCTGGAAAAAAAACTGATCAATGAGGTGAAAAATAAGCAAGAGCCAAAACAAAGAATAGCTTCAAATGTTGTTAGAACTATGTTTTATTTTTGTTGAGAATGAAAAATGACATGTAAAATAATCCATAATATACAGTCCATATATATATATATTATTTGTATGAAATATCTACTCAATTTTATTGATAATTATTATCTGATTATTTTTAGGAGAATCTCTCTTTTTAATTATATTTTTTATATAAGATTCAAATATCAAACTTTATTTAAAGAGATCTAATTTAATATCACAAAAATTAAATATACCTCTAATAACTTTAAGTTTTAATAGTAGCAAAACAAAAATAGAAAATAAACTAGGGCATATAATCCCCATGCTTTATAGTCGGATCATAGTCTCAAGTAAATTTTTCTTTATATTGGAGAAGAAGACAATGTAAGACACTAATTTTCTCAATGCGAGATTTTTAAATGAGGTTTAGAAAAAAGTTTATTTTAACTTTTTAAGATAAACTATAACATATGTTTGAGCTTCTTTTTTTTCTTATTAAGATGACTTTTTTTTTTTTTAGAGTTAATCATCTATACACCGCCAGTATAAAGTTTTTTTTACACTAACAGTCAATCAGAGCTATTAATAGTACTTTTTTTATTTTAATTTAATTAAATGAGCTGATGAAAAAATACTGTTAACGGCTCTGATCGATTATCAGTGTAAAAAACTTTACACTGATCGTATATCTCTTTTTTTTATCCATCCAAGTTTCAATAAAAATTCTGTACATTTTATTTTAAATTTCTTACTGCTAAACTGACTCTATTGATTATTAAAATATAGATTGATTCTGATTTACGTAAAAATATGTTAATTTCAATTTTTTTAATAACGTTAATAACATCTCAATCGAATAAGTATAGCACATGATGCTGTCTTATTATATTGTTCGAGGTAAAAAAAGATAACCATAAAAATTGTATCCATTACCATTTCTGTTCTTCAAAAATCTCTTTCTTTATTTATATTTCATTTCTAGTTATCTGGGGGAAAAATCGAATGTCATATGACTTTTATTTTTCTTTTAAGGATAAATATATATTTGTTTTTGTGCAATATTAGTTCAAATTTGACTTTTGGAAATCCTATATTTATTTTCTTCTCACTATTGGAAAGACACGCATATTGCTGCTTATCTGTTTTTTTTTTTTTTTTTGAAAAATGTTAAATTTATTTTTTAATATTATTATTTTAAATAATTTAATATGATTAATTTGATATAAATTTTGAAAAAGATTAATGGATAATTTGAAAAACAGTTAAAAACTAAAGTGTAAATTGAATGAGGTATTTTCTTTTATTAATTTTTTTATTCATCAAAATTGAATTTGGTATCAAAGGTTTATGGTTTACAACAACAAAGACATTTTAATTAATTAGTTGATTTAGACTTCATTGCTCCTTTATAATCAAGAATTAACTAGTAAAAGGATTGAAACTTAAAAAAAATATTTATCAACAAAATCTTATAGTTTAAAATATAAAATTTATAAAGCGATTGAAGTTGAGCAAAAAATTAACTCGGGCGAGTTATTAAACTAACTCGTTCCTGGTTTATATTTTTAATCTTCAGTTTTGCTCCTAACAAAATATATCATATTTTAATTGAACAGTCTGTCAAAAACTCTTCTTTTTAGTTTTTCTTTCAAGCTTGTCGATTGAGAATAATAAGTTCCAAACAATGCAAAAGATTTATAAATTAAAATGTGTCATTTTAACTTGTATTGGAGTAAGATATATTAATTTTCCTTTCGAAATTAATAAATTGTTCCATTTTTCCTTTATTTTTTTGTTATACAACAGATTTTAAAAATCCTCAGCATAAAGTTTAATTTTACAGTTTCCTCGACAAAGATCAAAGTCAAATCCTTGATGTTAAAGAAGACAATGAAAATAATAAAATAGTAAATCGTAAATAAAATATTTTTAAAAGAAAATAAAACATAAAAACCACGTTGCAACAGAATTTAACAGATTAACGAATAAAACATCAAACCCGTCAGATTTCGGAATCTTCCACGAATTCACTTTTGACTGCGCC